GTCAATTATTTGTGTTTAGAGCTGAAATGTTGCAGTTGTTGCTTTTGTTTTTAAAATGAATTCAATAAAAAAAAGAAATGAACAGGAAAGGGATGTTAGAAATAATAATGTAACCTTTAAAGGAAAACAACAAGGTTTCTCAAAAAATAAAATATTTCTCTTCAMTCCTTCAGGAGAAATGATGACTTTTATCGATAAAGATTAAAAGCGGAGGATGTTTGTGAAAGTGTGCAGCCCCTCCTCTCCGCACATTAAATATTCATATTTCAGTTCTTTCAGCCTGATTAATTATTAATTACGAGGGGACGATATGTCGTCTGCGAAAAAGATCCAGTGTAAACAGACTTATCAATTTTAACTCATGGTCACCGAGGGCCTCTCGTTTAATTTCTTCTCTCAGCTTTGTGTAATTATTTCGCAGCTTGTATATTTCCTCTGTATTGATCAGCAGCGTCTGCACACACATCAACACACACACCTTCCACTCAGACACACATTTAATCCTCCTACAAAAAAGCTCTATCTCCTTGAAAAAAAAAACACACAATGTTTCTCCTGCTTTCTTGTTTTTCCTCTCCTCTCCTAAGATGAAACCTGAGGAAGGAGACAAAAACAAAGCCTCTCCTCTGCAGCTCACATCAGCTAAATGCTGCCAAAAAGCCTTCCAGTTTGCCCATTCATCCCAGCTTGTTTAACAGCACTGTGGAGAGAAAAAAACTGCTTAAATTGTTCTGCAGATTCTCATTTTTCACCTCTCAGGACAGGAAAATGCTCCAATCAGCAGAGTAAAAACCTTAAGGGTTTGGGATGTTTAGAGCCAAAAAACCACCTGAAAAAAACATTTATCATATTTTTTTCTGCACAGATGCTGAAAACTAAACAAATGTTTTGATGAAATATCATTTTATTTAGATAATAAAGCTATTTTTGATTAATTTAAATAAGTATTTACGTTTAAAGAGTCACGTCTGTGAGGAAAATCTAAGCAAATATATATAAAATAACAATAAAATGCTCAAAAATGTGAAGCATGATGTGGATTGGAGAACATACTAATAATAATAATAATAATAAAAATAATAATAATAATAAATGATTTGCAGGCAGTAATAATAGTGACATAATGAGGCTCCCTGTCAGTAAAGCGCAGCTGTGTGATGCACTCAGCACCAATAAAAAATATAATTACACTCTTCCCCTCAGCTGTAAATTTCTCTTCTTCTCTTTAGTGCGAAATGGTTTCATCCCTCCTGCGCTCTGTGTGCGACAGGAAACACCGTCCTCTCCTTTTYGTCCTGCATTGTGTAATAAATAGAAATGTATGTTCACGTTATATTTCAATATCCCCCCTTAGAATCCTTCACGGATGTATTTATTAGATTGCTCCGGAGGTAATATCCGCAGTGGGGAAGGGAGGCGCTGTCACAGAGAAGTGTTATTAACTATAAGTGGTTTTATTATGGGAAACATATTCTCCAAGGTGGCATTTTATTTTATTTTTTTATTTTATTTTTTTTGATAATGCTTATGCTAAATTGTGTTACAGAAGAAGCAGCTTTTAAGTTTTCTCCTGTTTCTTTTTTTTTTCACTCTAAGAGAGGAAATACAAAGGTTTATTTTTAATTTTATTTTTATTTTTTAATTTAGAGGTTTTGGTTTGTCCTGATT